GATTTCTCTTTAAATTTTTACACGAAAATGTAATCTATTTCTTAAATCATCTTTTCCATTTCATTTTTCATGGCATTTCCATTACGATAAAATAATGCTCGTTATCATGGAAATGAAATAATGCAACTTCACTGATTAAATCCTAATTCGTATATTTCTCCACTTTTCGGATGAAAAAGAGAAATCAACGATATATGATTAGAGTTCAAATGCATGCCTGATTTCACTGGATGCACGTTACAAAACTTGTTATACTCAAAATTGATTTCCATTTGATAAACATGGCGAAATGGAAACGCGACACAAAGTGCTCGTCGGTGGCCAATTTGGGTGAAAAGCAGCTCCATTGTTTTTGGTCATTAGTTCAGTTTGTGTGCCGAAGCAGCCCGGCAAAGGTGATTGATGCGTGCGAGACACGTGGGAGGAAATAATCGAATCGCGGAGGAGAAATTTATTTTTCAATGCAAAACTTGAAGAGAGCACAATACGGAAAAGGCAAAGGTCACCGCCGGCGTCTCTGAATGTCATTCCCGTAAAGCTAATTGCATTTTTCACACTTTTTACGACGCGGAACTGGGTCAGCTGAGAGAGTGGAAGAAGAAAAGGCAGGATTAAATTTCTCAAAAAGGATCAGAGATTTATTACGAATCAAACGAGAGCCTTAATCCAGCAAAATCCAGGAGAAATCATAAAAAGCCCTAGGATTATTATCGTAATTCTTTTCAGTTCTTATTATTTTAATTTCAAGTAGTGTACAAGTAAGCGCAAAAATAATCTGACTAATCGTTAAAATTAATTTTATTAGGTAAATATAAAAAACGAAAGTAAAAAGCTTGAATCCAATCGAAAATTCAGTTAAAATTATGCGTCATGAAGTTATTATCACATGAATTATATCAGAGATGCAAATTAGAATAATTTATAAAAACGGTATAGTACCCAATGACAAGAATTAAATTAAGATTGTAAGCCCAATTATTTTACTGTATGCACTGCACACTATTTATAATTTGTATAAAAAATAAAAACAAAAAAATAAGTCATTTTAAAAATATCATTTGACATGTAAAAAAACATGAAAATAATACACATAATGTGTTAATAAAATAAAATAATAATAATAAGATATAGAACATTGAAGTTGTATAAGAAAACTATTCCCTGCTTAAATTAAAATTAGTTTATTAAATATTTTATTTTAGTTAGCAGTAGTAAAAGCGCAAGAAATAGGAAGTAGTAAAGAGGCACCTGTCCTCCTCTCATGTTGACGATTGATAAAAATAGACGGAAAGAAATTATCTTGACTTGAATCGCCACGTCGCCCTTGATCGTGTGTGGTGATGCGCGCTTTTGCATTAATTACACATAGGCTCGCGTTTCAGCAAACCAAGCTGGCGTCGGTGGCGTGTCGATCCCGTCACCCAGCAGCTATTGCATCAAATTTCTCGATTATTCAATGCAATAATTATTCAATACAATTAATTACTTTCTCGTCTTAATAGATTGGATAAAATTTGAAACAAAAAAGATAAATAAATTTGAAATATCGCAAGAATTAGTTGTTTTCTAGAATTATTTATTTGAATTAAGTTAAATGCGAATCAGTCCTTAATGCGATTATGGGAAAACAATTAAATGAACTTTTGTATACTTTTTGTAATGTTATTCCAAATTTCGGCCTCTTTGTTACAAGAGCAGAAAATTTAATTCCATCCTGCTGCAAAATGCGGCAAAAACGAATAGAAACTTGGAGCAGCGACAGACTGTGCGTCTTTGCGCAGTGAGCGAGAAACGCGAATCATGCATGTTTTTTTTATATTCGCGCCTCTCGCGTGTGTTTTGCTTCCGTCTGCTTGTGAGAATTTTCTCAAGATCTAATATAATGATTTGTATCTCCACGTCTGGGACTTTGTGACATTGAGGGGGAGTTAATGGGTTAAAAATTTAATACCTGATATAATTAAAGAAGAAGAAGCTCACAAAGTTTATAATCCATCTCTCAGCATGAGAAACAAATTCACCCCAGTGAACTAATTACTTTTCTTAAATAACGCATTGCGTATAATTTTTGGACGGAAATATGATGATTATAGATAACAAAACACAACGTGAGATTCTTACGTTCGTGGGAATCGAATTCTCAAAACTTTGAGAATTTTTGCAAATTTAGAATTTACGGCGGCGCGTGCGTCATTAATTTTTACAACTTTTGCACACCGTCCGCGTTTGGTCACGCAACAAATTTCCCTCTCGGTGACAACCTTTTGAATAAAAAAGCAGCTGCCGGATTTGGATGGGTTTTTTCGTTCCGAGAATCTTGCGCTCCACGTTGCACGCAGAGATCGTTTACCTTTAATTCCATATCTTTCTTTCTTTCTCCACTGCTCTCTCGAGTGTGTTTACCTTTGGAATCAGCTGAAATTGGCATCGAGAGATGGACCGCAAATTGATCTTGAAATTGTTTGTGAAATTTTCATGAAAGATTTTCATCTCTGGCCAAGCGTGTCTCTCTCTCCAAGGCCATTGCCAACAATATAATCACATGATGCTCGCAGCGGAGGCAATAATCGTCTCAATTCGACATGATGTATAGGTTTATGATTGAGCGAGAGTTATTTAACTTGTGTTTGTTTTACGAGAGAGCAGTATAACCATTATTATTGCTGTGCGCAATTGCGATTTTTGACGGCAGTTTTTATGTAACATCCGCTGTTTCGTGTGAGAGAGTTTTTTTAAATCGGAAATTCATAAAAGCAATTAAATTTTTCTATTTGAGTCAGTAGAAAGTTTTTGAATTTGTCAGGAACAGAGATTAAAGTTTAAAATTTTCAGATTAGAAACCAAAAATAAAAAATGGTTAAGGAAAGATAGGAAAATACATTGAATTAGCTCTAACATTTATTTTAAACTAGTTAAGTTCCGAAGATAATGAGGTTTGAAAAATGGATTTTTAAATAAAAAAAAGATGTACAAATTGAAGTTTTGGGACGCTTAAAATGCACAAAATTTTATTTAAAATGAGACCCGAAATTAATTTTACAAACTATAAATTCAATCTTATAATTGTTATTGCCAGGGAACGTGTATGTATGTATAGCAAATTCTTTTAAAAATAAGATTCAACTACACATAATTTTACAAAATCTCTTAGTGGCCACGTGTGGAAAGTGTATCTCTGGCCCTATCATGATAAAGCTGAATACTTTATAAACACCACTCGCAAGTCACATGCGTGTTTCTCAACTTTCCCGAAGCGTCTCTCTCGCGGTCATAAAAACAGGGAAAAGGCGCGAGATAAGGGCGCAGGTGACAGTCGAGAGAAGAGTGGGCGGTTTGGTTTCGATGTCCCTTTTGGACGCGGACACTGATCCCCAAGCAAACATCATTTTTGAAACACACAATATCGCACTGCGGCTTCTCTCTCGTTGGCGAAAAGCAAAGGTTGTTTGAAAACGGCAGTAAATAACATTATCATTGCGCGGTCTTGTATTTCAGACGGTCTCTTATAAATTATATCGCAGCCAAGTTGAGAAAAAAAAGAAAGAGATCTTGTTCTCGTTTCTTGTAAGCGATACACCTGCATCTCATTGAAATCAGGCAGCTCGTAAAGTAAATCCACATTATTTATTTATTTTTGTTCGAAATGCCGTTGATGAAGTTGTAGCATAAATTTGTCGTAATAATTGCACTGCGTATTGTTGCGCTTCTTTTCTTCTGAATGGGAAAAATTCGAGTCATACCAAACTGTTTATTTTTGTTCCCGAGACGCACAATGAGCCATTCAAGAGCTCTTTCATATGAGAACAAAACTGAAACAGCTCTGATAAACGATTGTGTCCGGAATTTTTTGATGACCAACGGATTTAATATACGGAATATTTGCGTGAGGTCTTACAAAATGTATGCACGGGACCGTGACTTTGTCGGACTTAACTATTAAATAAAATTTTAAATAATTTAGGTGTGGGAGTTGTAAATTAAATTATATAATTTAAATTGCATTTTTAATTTGTAATAATTTGAACTTTTTTATAATTTGATTTAGTTTGATAAAACTTTCATGTGTTTTTTGAACCATGATGACGTATGATAAATGATGCAAATAATTATTTTTGCATTTTTTCCAAATTTATTCACGGCATTCACGCAAGAAACACCATCAGTGTTTATAATATCTTGATAAAATCAACAGTTCTTAGAATGATGTATAAGTTTTCATGCATATATTTGTGTGTGAATACAGCTTTTATTATCTATTTAGAATTGATTTTACTTATTGACGGTTGTAGTCCTGTGCTGACAAATTTTTATTTACATGATAATTAATAATTCTGTTGATTTTTTAAACTTTTTTATGCAGCTTTTAATGAACATAATTATTTATTTTCGAAAAGAATAATATGAAATTTTCGTTGAATTTTGTGTTTGAACGATATCAAAATGCAAAATTTTCTTTTCATTCTGTTCTCCAATTGACTAATTTTATTCGCTGGAATTTAGTCTAAGAATTTTTAATGGATTTATTGACGAGTTTCGAATTCATTTTGCACCTAACGTTTAATTCATTCACAGATGAGACACAATCCTTTAAGGATTCCATTTTCCATTAATTTGGCTTGCATCCATCTCACTTCCTTTCATTTGAATCAGAATTAATTAGCAGGAGATGATGGTGCATCCTCACGCTATGCATTTTTTCACTGGGATACAAAAACACACGCATCGTGTTTTGTGTGTTACTTTTTACGTCTCGCCGTTTTACCATTGTGATCCCGACGCGTAAAATTAGTTATTCGACTTGTAACAGATTTCGTGGTCCATCAAGCATTTAATTGCTTTTTTCCATTTGCGGCTCAAAAACGCCTCTCTTCCTTCTTCACGCAATGCACTTTTGTCTGTTTTTGTAATTTGGAAACTATAAAACGCCCTGTAACGGAGCTTTTTTCCTTTCCCATTTTTACAAATAAACTCAGCTGATTTGTCTCCGTTTTCTGTTTCAGATTCAACAGCCGGTCGACCTTTCACCTCTTCGCAACAAAAGGTAAAAATTCCTTCGTTTTTCGCGGAAGCTCTCACTGATTTCTCTGCCAATGATTTTTAGTTTCAATGGTCGCGTGCGTGCGTTAGATAGCGGCTGAGAGCGATTAATAAAATTTGCAGAGCGCCCAGCTGTGTTGCCTTTCATCGCTCTATGCCGAATTGATACTTTATTCTTAGTGGAATCGGGCCAACGTAAAATATGGGTAGCTGAGGAGGAACTTTTCAAAAGTACGTTTCTTTATAGTATTTACTATCAAGAAATGAATTTTTAACTGATTTAATTAGCTTGTTACTGTTTTGATTGTTTGTGTAATTTATACCTAAATATTCATCAGCTTCCTTTGCTTCCAAATTTAACTTTTTTCAAATGAATTATTTCTCATAATGTAACTATTTCAGAACTTGTTATTGTCAGTTATTGCCATAGTTTTTTCTGATAATAGTTATTTTACTCATTTCTTTATTCTAAGAGCTGAACATTTTATTTTTGCAAATAAAATTAAAAAATTTCCAGTGTTTCTATGTGTATGCTATCATTAATATATTTTATCTCCTTGATTTATCAGCTGAGGATATAAAACATTCGGATATTATAACATATGCCAATTTTTTCAAATTCACTGATTGTGACATTCTATAATGAAAAGCACTGGCTATTCTACGTTAAATTTGAATTATTTTGATCTTTTTCTTTAGAAAATATAAAACTTTTAATAAAACACATTGAGAAACTTGAAGTATTAGGAAAGTTTGTTAATCATAGTTAATAAATATAAATTAGAAAAAAAATAAATAATAATAACTGTTAAATTGGCGCTGAAAATTAAACATTTTTAATTAAATAGTTATATTTTTAAAGAAGTTAAATTTTTATTTATAGTTTCGCGGGATCTTTTGTAAGTAGTTTATGGACAAATGCTCAGGATAATGTCCAATAATTTTACATTACGATGATTTTGTGGCATCTTTTCTATTTGATAGTGGCCGGTGTTGAGCGGTGTATTAGTAATATCCATAATAATTTAACTAGCAGAAAACGCAAGTCAGCCGATTTAAATGCGCCGGCCAGCTCTCTATACCCACCATGATTAGCAGAAGCATCTGGTGGTTTCTCATTAAACAGTAATTGATGATGATTCTCGCGGCCGATGACGTCTGATCATGTATATTTGTTTCGCGTGGTCGGATGTGTAATTTATGAATTTCAGTACCGGGAAGCCACATATACTTTTTTTCATTTGGTACATTTTTTAATTAACCGCCGATCTGGTTTCGGAACAAAGAATGCGTGAGAAAAATGTTAATTTTTGCCAATCGTAAAAGCAACTTCGCACCGGTTTGATTTAAAATTTTACATTTGAATTCTAACTGTAAAGTCTGGAATTTTAATAAGTAGTAATAAAAAAGCAATTGAATGTAAAACAAAGGTAGATGCAAAACATCTCGCTAATTGGAGAGAGTAGGCTTGTGTTTTTAAATTGGCGTTTTTGTTTTTGCAGCTCACCTTCCACCTGGGCCTGGCTCTGTTCAAAGCTCTGGAGTTTGGCTTTCAAGAGGAGGAAGAGCGAAGACTGGGTGCTGACCTGGAGCGGCTCATTGACCTGATGACCACCGAGCCTGGTGAGCCATAACCAGAATTGTTTCTCTCGGGAATTTCACTTTTATTTGGAGATAAATCTTATCTCGTTGAAAAAAATCGACGCGTTTAGGGCCATTTAAGCTGCAAGTGAAATTAAATAGAACCAGCCACGCATTTAAAACTTAAACACAATTATTCGCAGCCTCATGTTATGTGAGTCATTTTTGTCGGTGCAGCACTTCCGGTTCTGCGCTTTTCGAGCGTGAATTTTCGCTCGCCAAAGTCAACTTCCCTCCGGTCCGAAAACGAAACTGAGAGTTATTTATAACGTCATGCTTAGTTGACAAGGGGTGATTTTTTTAATGAAAAAAGCAGGTTGATGACTGAATTTTAGTTTGACCGAGTACTATTTTGAGTTAACTAAGTATTCATCCAATTGAAATATTGGTTTTTTGAAATTATATATTTTCTTTCATTTTTCTTCAGTTCCATTGATTTATTTTCTCTCTATTCATTGACTGATTTTACTTCAACAACTAAATTTAATCCAATAAGTTCCACGACTTTTTTTAATTTTTGGTTTGTCCTTCTCTTCTCTACACTGGTCATCCTTTTGCTTTCATGCGCACGTTCACGCCCGCGGTGCACATGAAATTAAAAAAATTTTCGCCAAGTCGTGCCAGCCATGAATATTTAGCTTATCGCGTCTTGCAATTACGATCCTGCCGATTATCATATTGTTTCCATTAGTTCATGCCCTCTGTGCATGCATAGTAATGAGAGGGTGATCGCCAAGTCTTGATAAGAAACGTTTTCCCATCATGCTTTTTGATATTTTGATGCGATCGTTTCGCACACCATTGCAGATCGCCTATCGCCCCAATTGAACACGCAGGTGAAGGTTGAGTTCAAGAAAGTTCCGATTTTGCTTCCTGATTTAATTTTCGAAAGCTGCGTACGTTGAATATTAAAATAATATCCTTGAATTCAAAGAGTTTATTGTCCATTTATTTAAATAAGTTAATAAAAAAAAATAACTCTTGTACTAAATATTTGTGTGTATTAAAAAAAAATATAAAGCAATTTTATACAATCCACCATATTATCTGATTATATTTGTGAGTCTTTTTTTATTTGGCTGTTCAAAATTTCTAATATTATTGAGGAATTAATGAATATATATGTCTAAAATTTGATAAAGTCAGTTAGTTTTTCTTTGCAATTAAATTAGATGTCAGAATTAAAAAGAAAAAATTATATTCTGGAATCAGAATTTAAAATGTGCATTTATTAATGATAGAGCAAGTACGAAGGATAACGGTATTCTTGACAAAAAATATTTAAATTAGAATCATGTTTTTCATAGACAATATTATAATAATTACTAAACTTCATTATCTTTCTTAAATTTTAATTATGTCTACATCTTAGACATCACGACTGACAATGAGCATGGTCCAAAATTTAACGTTAAATTGCTATTTGCGCGTCGCTTTTCCAAGACCGCATTAATTTTTTTTTAACTCTCACACAAGTCTTGCGCTAATTGCACGCGAGGTCAGCGTGCGCTGGCAGGTTAATTTATTATTATATAAGTTTGTTGGTCGCGGTTCGTTCCTTCTTCTGGGAATTGTCTCGGGCGCAACGAGTGAATGAGCCGATATGTATCGAGATGACAAAACCGAAAGTGGCGCTTTTTATTTATGGTGTCATTGTGTCGTTGGAAATAAAATTTATAAAAGACAGACAAATGCGACAGCGGGGAGGCGGCTGTGAAAAAAAAATAAGAAAGAAAATCTTCAACAACACAGCAGTCACGGTCATCGCTTCACTTTCTTTCTGCCGCTATTAATTCTCGGATTATATCGTGCGAGGTTTGTTTGAGAGACCGCCGTGGTGAAGAATTCAAAACACCTACCTTTCTTCCCGCTAATAATCGACATGATTTACGTGCTCGCTTTGACCAAGCGTTTAAAATTGTCATTATGTTGTATTATTTTCAGGTGACAAAGCAATTATTTGAGGCGACAATGAATCAAAACTTCTTTTTCCTGGCACTTCCTCCCACAATGAAACTTTCACTGTTTTTGACAGTAAAGGAATTTTAAATTTTTATCAGAATTATGTGTTTTTAATTCTCAACTAAAATTAATTCCTTGTCGTTTTAATTACAAAAAAAAGTTTCATCTCATCAGTTCTTGCGAATACGGCAAATCATGTAGGGTTTAAAATTTAAATACGATCAAAAAGTTAATTATATACAACAATACTATTTAGGAGCGTAATATATTCAAATTTAAAAACAAGGCATTATTGAACGTTCTCGGGATTTCCCAAATCGTGTCTTAGTATCTTTTTAATGCATTAAAACGCTCTTAAAGGATTCCAGAAACAGTGTAATTAATACATTTTATAATTTGATTTATAATTTCTTCCTCCGAAATCCTCTTTAATGGATTCAAGTGACCTTCCGCTAGGACCATAAGAAATTTCGTTTTTACTCTGAACTATTGCTAGATGCGTTTTTAAAGAAAACGAACTTTGTTACCGCCATATATCGTTTCTGGCGACCTTAATTGCGCTCTGGCCGCGACCTTTACAAAAAAAAGCAGCTCAAAATAACACGTGCACGGAGGCAGGAATTGATCGAAAAGTGGGCACAAGAATTTTAATTAGTGTGGCAGCGCCTCGAAAAGTGAAACTCTGCCGTGTAGAATGTGTTCCGAGTCTCCGCATCGCCTCTAGAGGAGCTCAGCCAAGAGTAGTTAGCGTATTTCATAACATTTTATGGCGCTATTAATATTTAGCATCTTTCCTTCGGTCTGGCATTTCACCAAGCAAAATCGACATGCACCTGAATATTATCGAGCATGATTATATCCTCAAATTTATGCAAGTGGCACATCGGATGAAGCAAGGAAATAAAATTCATATAAATTTAGTGATGTATAAAAAAATAAAGTGGTAGATAAATTACATAAAAATTTAAACCGGGCTTAACATTGATGAAATAATGAAGAAATAATTTGATTACAAAAAATGGAGCATTTTAAATGCAATGTTTATTAATTAATTTATCATTAGGCATAAGTACGTTTTATTATGATTAAAATTAATGGAGGAGGAGTTCTTGAGATGTCAACAAATTAAATAAAGAGATGAGGAAACTTTTAGAAATAGAGGCAGAGACCATAAAAATGCTGCAATTCATCGAATATACAGAAGTTGTCAGGGAAACAATATAATAATTATAAAATCGTATGCGAGATAAGGGAAGATTGCAGAATATTTTATACCCTTAAATGAAGATCTTGGCTTACAAAGGGCAAATCGATAAACGTTTTCCTTCTTTTCAAACATGCATGATTTGTTCTCAATCATAACAGAGAAATAACTTAAAGTAAAGAAACTTATTTTTAAAGTCACTATTTTTTAGATCTTGATAATTTCAAGAAAAATTATTTTAGAATAGAATAAAAGAATTATTATGTTTCAATATTTGTATTTTTTTTCTCTTTTCACTTCACTCTGTCCTGCTTGTTAAAAAAATGACTCTGCAGGTTTGTATTGGAAAGAGAGATAAGTAAAACGGCGATTTGTCATTTGCGATTCATTGAGTCTTTCTCGCAAAACAAACAAGGATGTCAGTGGCGATTTTAAAGGGGCACAAATCGCTCTCGCAGGTGTCCTATCCACCGAAACGATCAGTTTCGGAGAGAAATTATGAACACTATTTGCCAAGAGTACACAACACTGTAAGACACACCACCACTTTAAAACTTGGTATAAACGGCGTGACGCGGAGCAGGCAGATGCCTGCCATTGATAAAATATGCCTTTTTTGGTTCGCTCTTTTAAATTTATGTTGTGAATCTCGTTTCAATTGACATGGATTTTATTGTATTGTGCGAAGGGAAAGAGAGATATGGGAAGACCTTTCACAAGCTGCATTGTCGGAGAGCAGAGAAAGGATATTTGCATGCCGCGCATTTCTACTTTTTATCTCTTGAGAGAGACGCACGTTCATTCCTAAAGCGTAATCGATATACCGCAACAGCTGCACATAGCATTAAAATTGTTCGTATAATTTTGATTTGAGAAAAAAATGAGCCAATTAAATTATAGTTATCCACAAACATTGGTAAATGGATTTATCATTCATCCAAATGTTCATTAAGTTAAATGCTAGTTTTGATATGAAATTGATTGGGAGCGAGAAATTTTAGTCGTATATTTCAATTGAATAAATTAATAAATCATGCTGGTTGCAAAGCAAAATTATCAATGATTTAAATAATATGGAACGAAAAGGGTTTGTCTGAAGCGAAATATATGGCAAAAAATGTCACTTTTTTGTTAGAAAGCAAGTTTTCCAGGTGATTTCAGGGGGCTTAAAAATGTCATTTAATTGTTTAACGAAAATTATATCAACATTTTAAGTTGAGAGATGCAGTGCAAAGCTTTGCTACAATATTATCGTCTGCAAATCGGAGAGCTTGGATTCATATATACCCAGTATAATATCACTGTATTAAATTAAAAGATTCTATTTATGTACATATAATTTTTTAAATTTATTAGGTAAAAAAATTCCAAAACTTTAATAAAAAGATTAAAATATAACGAATATCATTATTAAATTTTTTAACTAATGCGTTTTAAAGAAAGAAAATAATTGGAAAAAATTGCAAATTACAATAAATTTCTAGCACTTGCGACTTTCAGAAATAAGCGACCGATGCCAGGTCATTTTCACTGTGTCCGAATTAAAATTTTCAGCACGTTCACTTCATTTGCTGCGAAATTCGATTGCGAAAATGATCCCTTCTTGGAGCCAAAAAATTCACCGGCGGCGAGAAGGCGTCGTCAAATGGCAGTAATTCTTTTTATCATAACGAATGCAAATAATAGCTCAATAATTCACAGCGGGCGTGTTTCATTGTCGCGCGAGAATAAGAGAGTGATTGGCCGAGTGCCAAGTCGAAGATTGGAGAGAACAGGTAGCCGGCGAGAAAATTATTATCTAACGTCCGAACAGAAA